ACCATTCCTCCTACAATTCCAAGAATCTTCATTGTGAATTTTGTGATAACGACGGACATACAGTTGACAACTGTAGGACTCAAAAATATCACTACAAATTATGTGATAAAAGGGGCCACACTGAAGACAGATGCAAATTTAAAATGGAACAATGGTTCCTAATAATAGGGGAAAGCAAGGCAGCAACCATAGTAACAAATCACACCAGCACGGGTCCCAGCCTTCACCGAACCCATTGCACGGACTCTCAGCAGAGCAGCTTCAACGATTGACCCACTTTGTGTCCATAATGAATTTAAATCATACCTCTGGTAATAGGAGTAGGATTATCTTTCCTCCTAGCTATATCTTTTTTCTCTTTTCTCTCACACATTGTTTTTTATCTTATTATCTCTATAAAAAAAATCAATATAAAATGTTAATGTAGCTTAACCGTGATCGTTTAAATAGAAGGGAATGAAATGAGAGAGAGATCAGGAGAGAATCCTCCTCTTGGTAATAACAATATTTATGCAAATGCAGCAGGTTTGTCTTCATTTACTGTTGCCTCCGTTAAATCTGTATTTACTCAACCTTGGATTTTGGACAGTGGGGCTACCAATCACATCACTTTAGATTCTTCACTTTTCACCGAAACCAAATCTTAACAAATTTCCACCGTTAAATTACCCACCTCTTTGGCTACAATTACTTCCACTAACATCATACCATTCAATTCAGATATTACATTAGACAACGTTCTATGAGTTCCCTCTTTTCACTTAAATCTCATGTATGCTAGCCAAGTCACTGACTCTCTAAATTGTTGTGCCATTTTTTTTCCACTTTCTGTGTCTTGTAGGACTTGGCTACAGGGAAAATAATTGGATCAGGTAAACAACGTGGTGGTCTTTATTACATGTCGCCGTTGCAACGAACACATCTCTTCTGTCAAGTTTCCCATCCCTCAAATTTATGGCATATGCGACTTGGACATCCTTTATCAACTCGTCTCAAATTAGTACTTCCCTCGTTGTCTCAAATAATGTTTCTTTTGATAATAATTGTACTATTTGTCCCATAGCCAAACAAACCAAACTTCCATTTCCTTTAAGTTCTATATCAACTCATGCACCATTTGATTTGTTATACTGTGATATTTGGGATCCTCATAAAGTTCCTACACATTCAGTGTCTCGTTTTTTTCTCACCATTGTCTATGATTTTACTAGGTGCACAAGGGTTTTTTTGATGCAACATAAATTCGAAACTCAATACCTTTTAAAATCGTTTGTTACTTTTGTTGATAACTCAATTTCATGCGAAAATCAAAACAATAAGGGTTGATAATGGGTCTAAATTTTTATCCATGAAAGATTTTTTCCAAAGCAAAGGCATTGAATATCAACACACAAGTGTCTACACTCCACAACAAAATGGAGTTGTCGAACGTAAGCATTGTCGCATTCTCACTGTTGCATGTAGCATACATTTCCAATCTCAGGTACCCCTTTCATTATGTGGCGATTGTGTCTTCATTGTTGTCTATCTCATTAACCGATTACCATCTCCTTTGTTATCCAACAAATCCCCTTTTGAGTTGTTATATAACTGTCCGTCCTCTTTTTATTTTTGTAGGAAATTGTCCCAAGGTTTAGTTGACAGTGACCGTTAGATCGATATTTCTTTTGTATGAAGGCAGAGTCTAGAACAAAGAATAATTAACAAATTGTAGTTGGTTTCGGTTTTAGAGGGATTAGGTTTTCATGTCCCCCTTTTTTTTCACACATATATATATATTATCATTTTTCTTGTATTTTTTATCTTTTTATCTTTTATTTTTTCACACATATATATATATATTATCATTTTTCTTGTATTTTTTATCTTTTTTTCTTGTATTATGAGAGGTTAGGTTTATGTTCTGACTAAGAGTACCATTTTTTCGATATCAATAAAATTTCTCTCGTACCGTCGAAATTTTCTAAAACATAAAAATAAAAAAATAACAAAAGACATAACAAATAATAGCAATTCCAAATCTCACACGTGTCCCCCTGCGGCAAGAAAACCAGCAGCATGATTTGCCTTCCTGAAGATAACTTGGAATGTATATAAAAATTTCTGAAAATATAACTTTAGCCCCTGAAACTCAAGTTTCTTTACAAAAAACCCGGCATAGTCTTTTTACCTGAATAAAACCCAATGACTAGGCTCCACATAAGCAAATTCATTAATTATGTTTGCCTTTACACATTTTTCATTTTTAGATGCCTAAAATACCCCTAATTACGGTTTTAATGTATACATTTAATTCTATGCAAATTTGAAGGAAGGGATTAATGAAAAAAAATGCATTAATGTTTAAAATCATTGCATATTAATATATCATAACAAATTGTATATTATTCCTTCTGGCAAAAAAAAAAAAAAAAAAAAAAAACACCACTAATGTTATACTTTCCTTAAGATTTCGTAATTGTTTTTCAAATTTGCTTAAAATTAGACAATTTTAATTTAATCTTGTTATTTTCTTACCAAATGAAAATATGAAAGGGCACTATAAAATCTGCCCAGTAATAATACATGCAAAATAATTTACTTATAAAATAAAAGAAATGTTATTTGATTCAAAATAATTTTATCTATATTTTATATAATAATATAGGTGAATCATTGCACACATATATTAGTAGTAAAATGTGCCCAATATATATGTAATAATGCATGCAAATAATTCACCTACAAATAAAGGAAATTTGGTTAAAAATAATATATCTACTACCTTCAATTTTCCCTTTTTTTTTTTTTTTTTTTTTTTTTTTTGAATTTTTACAAACATAATGTACCTACAACATAATTTACCTATTGTTTATTCTTATAAAAAAAAATTAATGTATCTACTGTTTTATTTTAATGGTGATAATTTGTCTTGGTTTGGTTTTTACGAAATAATTTAGGCACTGTTAACTTGACCAAAACAATCTAACTACTATTTTAATTTACCTACAAAATAAATTCTATTTGATTCAAAATTAATTTACTTATATTTTACATATAAATATAGATGAATTATTTTTAACACACATATATAATAACAAATAAAAAATGTCTAATGTATGTAATAATCTATGTAAAATAATTTACCTACAACATAAAATATTAATTGGTTTGTTATTTTATCAAACAATTTATTTGATGCAAAATAACTAATTGTACAAAGGATTTTCTTTTTTCATACGAAAAAATGTGCCATAATTGTTTATGAATATGGATAAATTAATATTATATATATATATATGTTTCTAATATTTATGATACAAGAAAGGTAAAATTTCCATATGGGGTTAATTGCTAATCATAATTAGGGTGAGTAATAATATTTATTGACATAATTAGGGTTTTGTGGCATAAGTTGTAAATATGTTGTAATAATTGGTTATATATTTGTCTACATGGTATTCTATTTGAATTTCGGGTTTTATTTAAATGTTTAATATTATGTGGGTTTTTGTTTGGAAAATAGAAGTTTCAAGGGTCTTTCTCTAAAGAACCCTATAAATTTTGAGGGATGTATTTGGTTGCATTGAAAATAATTTTAAGTATCAAATATCTTAATGGATAAAGTGTTGAATTTTATTAATGCCGGATTTGAAATTTTCATTCTCCTAAATTATACATAGTTTCAAATCATTTCCCTTCTTCTTAAATTAAAAAATAAAAAATAAATAAATTGAAGACAATATTAAGAGAGAAGAATCTCATCACTGCTGGTATAAGGATTTCAAGACAAATGAGTTATGGACAATAATTTCTGCACTCATAAATTTTTGAATTTTTAATATATGTGAAACAGTAATGTGATATTACTATTTCACTTAAATTATATCACGTAAAACAAGAGTTTTGTACCATATTTTATGGCGGATCTTTTAAAAAAAATTAAGACATCAACTTTGTCGTCTGCCAAACATCCATACACCGAACCAGATGACCAACTTACTCTAATACCAAGAAAAAAAATTAAGTGCTTTTATATTGTTTGGACTTGGGGCCATGGATGCATTAATTGGTGGAAATAATATTCTTTACAAGTAAGAAAACTCATACTAATTAACATGGAGAACCTCTATTTCTTGATTATGGCATTGTTCTTAAATTACAAAAAATGGTGTCAAGCTTAGATCGTAGAGCAGGCTTTCACTCAATTAAAAAAAAAAATAGTAATAATAATCTGAAAATTGTGTTCGGCAGCTCACCGCTGTCATCCTTCGCAATATACCGATGGACAGCCACCGAAAACTCTCAATTTGTTCAGCCACCCAATACCGAATGGCTCGCAAACGGACTTCTTTCCTTCCAAATTTTCATGCTAATATTATACGACTTTCGACGTTTCAATTCTCCACGTTATTCTGGGTGGGAATCTTCAATCCTTTCGGTTTTTCCATCTCAAACTTTGGGTGGTGGACAATAGACGAAGGATGGTTGCTTATGTCAGTGGAGACGCCTGTCATGTTTTCGGTTTAGTAGGGTGTGGCCCTGTGGGTGAACATGAATTTCTGCCGTTGATTACATAGTGGAACTTTTGAGATCACCATCCACCATGAATTTTTTTATGACATGACAGCAACAATGTCTGTGGAGAGAATAAACAAATATTGCTGGTTCTATGAAGACGAATTAGAGAGAGGAATCTCAACGCCGCCGGTGGTATTGCGAATAGAGATGCGGAATATCTTCCAACATTGAAAGGAGAAATATTAGTAAACTAATCGCTTGTTTACTTAAAAATCACTCATTACGAGTACACGACAATTGGATTCCCAATTTTCAGGAATGTAATAATTTGTAAAGCACAACAGAAAAAACAATCATCTAGACAGCAACATGGATCAACCAATGACTGCTCAGCAGGTTGCTTCCGGTGAGCAGTGGGACACCCCAAAATATTCCACCACCAGTCTATATATTAAATCCTGAGCTCCTTCGAAGAATTAGATTCAATAGACTGAGAGAAAATGATAGGCAGCACTGAACTGTTGTTTACCATCTTCATGGTGTTGATAGTACTGGGAGGACTTTTGGGGTATTTATATGGGCCCTACTGGGGAGTAAGAAGGGTACCTGGCCCTCCAACTCTCCCTCTGGTAGGACACATTCCCTTGATGGCAAAGTATGGTCCTGATATATTCTCAGTTCTTGCTAAAGAGTATGGCCCTGTTTTCAGGTTAGTAGCTATTATGCATGTGGATATTTGATTATGCGTAATTTGTCTTTTTTTTTATCCTAATTTTCTCAAAGAAATTTGACAACAAGCGCAGGACTACGTACATGGTTAGGTCAGTTAGACATGACAGTGTATTAAGGGATGGTTTGGTATTGTTGTGCTTTGAAAAAAAACTGATTCTGCTGTGCTGTGAGAATAAACAGCTGTGAAATAAAGCAGCAGAGTGTTTGTTAAAACTTTTTTGTACAGTCTTTTTGAAAAAAAAAACAGTAATAGATAGTGTTTTTTGGTAAACTTTTTGTAACACAGATGTGAAAAAAAGCCGTTTTTCAAAGCTGGGTTTTGCAGCTTTCTTGTTGTTGGCCTTTTTTTTTCACCCAAAATTGGGGTGAAAAAAAGCTTGAAGCTGATGTTTTACCAAACACAAAAACAGCTCCCAGCTTTTTTTGATACCAGCTTTTTTCAGAATCACCTCAGTACCAAACCAGGTCTAATTCTCTTGTACCCAAGTTTGAATCTCCACTCTTCATACATTAATAAAGTAATTTAGGATATCGCTTTGTTAAAGAAAAACGATTACTCTGAGACTTCAAATTAGTGCCATTTAGGTCAAGTGATCCACCGTTTTCTGAGTTATCTGCATGCTAGGTGTGAAAGGCAAGCTTAGCAACTGTTTGTGACTTCTTTTGATGTGGACTTTAGATCGTGCAAAAGTTACTCTTGTCGCTTCCTTTTTCGCTTCCCCTTTAGTATGGTTGGAACTTGGAATGAAGGATGTTAGTTAAACATTAGATCTCGTGATAAATCAAACGTTTCAGTTATGTAACTTTAATTTAAAATACGCTAAGATAAATCGTCCACGCATGCGCATAACATAGCTCTTAAGTTTTTGGTTGCACATATCCTGGCAGGTTTCATATCGGTAGACAACCACTCATAATTGTAGCAGATGCAGAGCTTTGTAGGGAAGTTGGAATAAAGAAATTCAAAGACATTAAAAACAGAAGCATTCCACCTCCTCTTGCAGCTTCCCCTCTTCATCAGAAGGGTCTCTTTTTAACCAGGTATATATTTTATATGTTATATAGGTATAAAGAGGCATAGGATATCTACCGTTTTAAAGTTATTGTAGATGTAGATTAGGTCAATTGATGAGGATATTGTGTTCACCTATCTTGCACTCAAGTTCGAATCACTCCTTATGTTGATTAGAGTAACGTAGAATATCTGATGGAATTTGAGCATCCTGCAGGGATACGAGATGGGTGACGATGCGAAACACTATATTATCAGTGTATCAACCTTCACACTTAGCCAACCTTGTGCCTACAATGCAGTCATTTGTTGAATGTGCAACTGAAAAACTTGGCTCCATGGCGAAAGTAGAAGAAGATATTACCTTTTCCGCCATCTCCCTTCGATTGGCCACAGATGTAATAGGACAAGCTGCATTTGGTGTCAACTTTGGCCTTTCTAAACCACAATCCTTCGGCGAATCAGTCAAAAAGATTGATGGCAAAGACAATAATGACGATGAAATCTCAGACTTTATCAACCAACACATATATTCCACAACACAGGTTAAGATGGATTTTTCGGGTTCCTTATCCATCATACTAGGACTACTTGTCCCCATACTTCAGTGGCCATTTTGGCAGATGTTGAAGAGAATTCCTGGCACTATGGACGGGAAAATAGAACATAATAACAGGCATTTGACTAGCCGGCTTGGTGCAGTTGTGGAAAAGAGAATGAAAGACAGCAGACAAGGTTCAAAGGACTTCTTGTCAGTTATACTGAATGCAAGGGAGTCAGGGAGGCTTTCGAAGAATGTTTTCACAACAGATTACATTAGTGCACTTGCTTATGAGCATCTCCTTGCCGGGTCGGCCACCACGGCATTCACTTTGTCTTCAGCTGTCTACTTGGTTGCTGGACATCCAGAAGTAGAAAAAAAGTTGCTGGCAGAGATCGATGGATTTGGACCGCCTGATCAGATGCCAACTGCAAGTGATCTTCAACACAAATTTCCTTATCTTGATCAGGCAAGGCTTCTCAAATTTCGATGTTGCATTTGAGGAATCTTCCTCATTAGTTGGCTTATCTGTTGCTTTTTCGAATGCAGGTTATTAAAGAGGCAATGAGGTTTTACATGGTTTCCCCATTAGTTGCTAGAGAAACATCTCGAGAAGTCGAAATAGGCGGTTATCTTTTACCAAAGGTATTGCTCTACTTCTGCTAGGATCTCTTTGCAGAAATGTCTTTTTGTCTGGACTGAAAGTGGTTTGTATATATTATAAACCTTATGGGATTAGTTCCTTTTTGTTTTTGAGATGCAGGGGACTTGGGTTTGGTTAGCCCTCGGAGTTTTAGCGAAAGATCAAAAGAACTTCCCAGAGCCAGAAAAGTTCAGGCCAGAGAGGTTTGATCCAAGCTGCAAAGAAGAGAAACAAAGGCATCCTTATGCTTTTATACCGTTTGGACTTGGGCCTCGATCCTGCATCGGTCAGAAATTTGCCATACAAGAAATAAAGCTTGCACTGATTCACTTATACCGGAAGTATGTGTTCCGGCACTCTCCATATATGGAGTCACCTCTGGAGCTTGAGTTTGGCATTGTTCTCAAGTTCAAGAATGGTATCAAGCTTCAGGTCATAAAGCGGAAATGATGCAACATGTCCTTCCACGTGCCTGATCAGACCTTACTCATCATTTGCTTAAGAAGGCAACTGAAGATTAGTAACTTTTAACTTATATGAAAATGTATTAGACGTCTTCGCTGTAGATTTTGTGAAATAAATCATCAAGTTGAAGCTAAATTTGCTAGTGATCAATGCATTGCAAGAAAGCTGGCAATGAGTTCAATGACCCATCTCATTCAAAATAAGCAAATATTCGACTCCACATGTTCATAAATTAACTATGTTACAAATGAAGACTGAACTCTTCTATTCCTCGCACACACTTAAATTACACATTCTAAATAGCAGGGAGCAACTAGATGTTGATCTTCTAAATCAAAATGAACTTAATTCACCTGATTGTATGAACAAGGCGCCCCCTTCACCTCAGTTTCACAGAGTTCTTTTCCAATCGCATTGGCATGCAAAGCGGCTTAGAGAAGTTGGCTGAAGATAGCTCAGAACCAGCACTACTTTTTGAATCCCCATTAGAGAATACCCCAGACCTCTTGAGAAATTGAAACTCGTCCATGGATTGCCTTTGAGTTCTTTGAGACAGATAACTATGTGGTTTCTGCTTCGCCTTAGTTGACTCAGTCAGGTTCATGTAACTAGGCTTATAGTTGCAGCTGTCATCTGTTCTGTCCGATGCCAATCCGGTGTTCCCAGAAACCGGCGTTGTGGATGTGCACAGTGAAGACGAGGCAGAGCTCTCATCATACCATAATTCTGAACTGGGGCTTGAAGACGAGCGAGTGGCTTGCCCAACGTGAGGAGGCTTTGCAGAAATCCTAGTGGTGACATTGTTCTTCCTGACTTTGACTGAGCATGGTTCTGAAGATTTCGAATGTTGTTTGCCCACCAAAGGGTCTGCTCTACTCTTTGGAGGTGGTGTGATCTCAGAAGAGTCGTCATGTGACTCTTCCATCAGCCTAGTCTCCCACGGCTTCGCTGACATCCAACGCTCTAACCAACTCCATCCCCAACTATTCTTTTCAAATTCATTGTTCTTATTGAGAGAGTACACTGAGGATCTGGTACGAGAATTTGAATTCAAATCTGGGGCTGATTTCCATTGCTGAGAAGAGAAAAAAGAAACACAATCTTGCTCATATCAGTAATGTGAAGAGAAAGGTACTTAATTTAACAGACAAACTACAAGGAGGCTCCCGATGAAGCCAAGTTCTGTGTTTTATTACCTTCTGAGCAAGAGCATAAGCAATTGCTCTCTCCCTCTTGAATGCTCCTTCCTGCCTCATTTGAATCTTTGCTTTAACATCATCTATTGTTCCCTTGCTATCACACCACCCCTCCTGCAATTTTTTTTTCTATCTATTTTCAGTAATTATAACAAAAACATAAGTTCGAAAAAGCCGATTCAAACCAAGAACACTTTCTTCTGTCACTTATCAAATGAAAGCAAAGATCATTAAGAGCTTAAAGTACCTCAGCATCTTTTAATAGATCAGCCTGGGTGCGGCGTTCATTGATCATGTTCTGCACAGCTTGTCCCTCCATAGACATTCGCACACGACGAGCTCTCACACGAGCCTGAACTCGAACGAGAGCTTGCATGCACCTCAGTGTCACTGCAGCCTGCTTCCTCACTTGTCGGCCTCGAACCAGAGCTTGCAGCCTCACTATTCCTCTCAAGGCCTTCAAAGCCCTTCTCGCCTGCACATAAGTTTGCCCAGAATAAAACAACAACAACAAAAGCTTCAAACTTTCATCAATAGAAGCCAAATCCTTGAAATTAAGCTCAATGGGCAGCTAGGCATGTTATCAAACAGATTAAGACAGAAGGATTGAGCAACTTCAACACTAACTATGTGCTTATTTCAAAAGCTCTACTAGTCAAAAGCTACAACTTTAACAGAAAAGCACTTTCTGACATCAACAAGTAGGTTGTTCAAATCCAAACACAAAGATCTATGGCCAACGATTCCATCAAATAAAATTGAAAAGTCATTTATTTTTTTCTTACCAAGAATCCTCGGAAAGCAGTTTGGATTCTGATAGCAGCCCATTCCTGCCTCACAACCCTGAAATCCTTCGGCGGAGCTCGAACCACCGCAGCCACCGCGGCATTATACGCATCGGCCCCTCTCGGCGAATCCGACCCCTCCGAACCCGTCCCGTAATTCCCTTTGAAACCCTTCCACGAAGACCCCAAATCCCCTGAAGAACTCCTCCACAGTTTCCACTTCTTGCTCTTCCCACTCACCTTCTCCTATCAAACCCAGATAAAAAAAAGTTCAGAAAGTTCAGAACAAAAAAATAAAAAACAAAAGCTCGAAGTTTTGATAAAGATCGAAGCTTTACCGGGTCTTTCTTGTCTGGTTTTTTCATCCCGATCAGCGCTTTGACCCATTTTCCAGAAGCACCCATTTGAGCAAAATATTTTGCTTCAGCAGAAACACAAGCAAAAACAGAGGTTTGCAGTGGATTTATGAAACTTTCGAGTGGATTAATGAAACTTCCAGGTGCATTAATGAAACTTCCGGGTGGAATTATCAAACTCAAAGCTTTTGGGACGTGGGTGATTTGCTTTGTTTCGTGGGAGAATGGGGAGGGTTTTGTTTTGTGGTTCCAAAAACCACACAGAGCCGTTCGATATTTGAAATTCAAAACACCACGGGACAAACTGGGAAGAAAATGCGCTCGATTCTCTGGGGTCAGGTGCAGTTTTTACCCCTGTTGTGGGAGAAAATTACGAAGTTGCACCCCCACTAGGGCCTCTGCTTTCTCTGGGGAAATATGATCGGAGGCCACGACGGCACGACTCAGATGGTTAACTGTGTTTGTGGGACCACCTGTAGCTAATGAGATTGGGCCACGTGGGAGTGGGCCCATGTGCTGATGAATTATATTTGGTTTTGTGGTTTTCACCAACCAACTTATTAATCCAAGAACTAAAAATGGACGAGCAAAGTGAAGTTTGAATGATTTACTACTAAAAATAGGAGAACAGAGCTTTGCTGGCGTCATTTGAAAATGTTCTTAAGTTCTTTGCAAGGGGGTGGTTTCAAAAAATGATTTTAGAAATATTATCCCAGACTCCTAATTATTTGTTATCAATAATTCGAATTCAAAATAACATATAGTCGTGAACGATTGTTTGATTTGATGGCATTTGATTGGGCACATTACTTGTCTTTGAAAATGATTTGAATTAAAAAAATGACATGTCACAGTACGTTTTGGCTGCATCAGAAGCTAAAGTCATCATATGAAATGACTTGGCTTTGAAGCTTGAAATTATACGATGTAGGGAGGGGTATTTGGTTTACTAACTCTATTAAAATGTATAATGTTGATTATGTTGAAGTATTTAGATTAACCATTAAAAAAAAAAGGCTTTTTTAGCTACGAAAAAACTCATTTATCCTTGAGAAATGCTAAAGGACGTCTTTCAAAAGCGAAATTCTTTATTAACTCTTTGACATCTCACTGTCTAACGTCAATTTTTTCTATGAACTATATGACACATTATAATTTAACGTTAATTCTTATACCAACATTATAAAATATTGTACAAAAACATGAGACGTTGCTCAGACGCAATACCAAACAGATCGCAATTGTTATTGATGGCCATCAACCGTTTATGAAACTCGGCAAGTGCAATGAAGAGCATTCGGGAAAAAAAGAAGCATTAGTTTAAAGAAAGAGTAATGTTAGAGAGATTAAATTTACAAACTAAATGATGCGTCATTAATAATTAATATACACGTATATCAACTATTTAAATAATAATACAATGATCAACTTGCACGTAATTTAGTTGATAAAACTAATTTTCCTAGCTTACTATTAAAGAAAAGTGCTTTTTGATATTCATTTGACTGTACAACTTCAATTTCGAGATTACCAAACAAATACCAACCGAACCTGACTGGACCGGGACCGGACCATTTATGTTTTTGTCAGAGGTTGACATCGAGGTTCGACACCTTTGTCTCTGCTTCCTTCGTACCAAGATTTCGCATTTCCAAATCTTTTCCTAATTTTCTGAATAAATTAATCATCTTTCAGGAAAAAGGTTCTTCCTTGTTCTTCAACAAGAAATTCCACATTGGATTCCTTCTTTTCTGTTTTAATTTTTTAAACAATTCCTTCTATTTTTTGGGAATTAATTTCTGATTTTTGTGTTTTGGAATAAATACATGGAGATGGAGTTAGTATGATCATCTACCTAATTTTGTGTCTTCTGCGTCCAAATAAATAAGCGGGTAGCTGAGTCTGTCATTGAATCATCATGTCTTCTGCATAAAACTCAGAGAAAGAGAGATGAGGAATCTGATTTCACAATGTTCATAAATATATAATGACACGAAACATCGTTATCGCGTGGCATTATTGGTTTCTAATGTCAAAGTGAAGTGTTGTATCGACTTTCTATATCTACTTGTCATAATATAAGTAAACATGATATATTCTTAAGTGTTTTTTTGCTTATATTATAACACATATGTATCGGCTCGTGTTTCGGATACTAAAAAATCTCTCTTTAAGGACAAGAAATGTAGACAAGTGAGTATAGTTACAGCTGCTTATACATAACACCACCTTAGTGAAAAAGAAAAAAAAAAAAAAAAGCCTAGTGATATTGGGATTCAAAATGCGTAAAAGAAAAAACAATGAAAGAATAACAAACTTAGGTTCATGTGGGAATTGGGATAGGAATTCAAAATGCGATATTGGTCTCGAATGTCACCGTAGCATCTGATTCACCACTTTTTTTCCTAAGCCGTAGTCTCAGCCAAATTCAACTTGTAGACGAGCCGGATAGTTACGTGTTTAAGGTTGAACTTCATGCCATGTGATCGGTACATACGCGAGTATGGAGTTGTTTGACTTGAGAAATTTTTTTGAGTAACTGATTGTATACAACCAATTACACCTTAACTCACATGGCGGAATTAGCGCGAACCAATACCGTCGGGATAGGGAGTCCCATGTAGGCAAGTCTAGGGAGACCCGGATCTTTGGGCTTGGTCTGGGTGAAGGGATTGGAGCACAGCTTCCACGCCGGCTCAGTGTGACTTTTGGTGAAAGGTTGACTTGTTCAAGTGCTTTGAACTGTAGGTTCACTGGATAGTCCTTCACACACCCAATACG